TTTTTTTTTTTTTGTGCTAGAATTAATTGTAGCAATAGTATTAGCAATAACGACGGCAACATTATCATTCAATATTAACGATACGAATTGGTGGTGTAGTAAATTCTGGAATTGGAGTTATAAATCTTGGAATCGAACACAAGCAGTAGTAGCAACAACAAATAGTAGTAGCAGTAGTAGCTGTAACGACAACATTACCATCAATATCATCATTATCAACAACAACGACAACAACAAACAACAACAACAAACAATAACAACAACAAACGACAAACAACAACAACAACGATATTCGATATTGTAATACAACTTATCATTCCCTTCATCAACTGTGACGAATAGATCAAAGTTAGTTAAATTTAGTTTGAAATAGAAGATAATTTTTCTTCATTTGACAATATCAAAAAAAAAAAAAAAAAAGTAAGCAATGAAAAGGAAGAAAAGTATGAATAAATCATTTAGTTCTTTTTTTTTTTGTTTGATACTCATATGATTGGCTAGTAAGAATAATAGTACCAACTTGTGCCTGTCTCGAGTTTGCCATCTTTTCAAACTTCATCTCATCAATAGAAAAATGGGACTTGAGAAAACAAAAAAAAAAGAAAAAAAAAGAAGGAAATGGTAAAGAAAAGAATGCTAAAACATTCTATGGCGTAGTAAACGTTTATTTCAACTTTTATTAATTAATGTTATTTGCTATCATGATTACTATTATCACTATTATCAGGCATTTATTTTATTTGTTATCATTTTATGATTAGTAAAGGAATGAGAAATAAAATGATGAAAAAGTGTATGAAAGAAAAGGAAATGAAATTTTAGAAGTCTTATATTAAAAACAAAAGAAAAAAGAAAACTATTGTTTCAAAATTTTTTAATAATAATGACAGTATGAAAAGTTTTTTTTTCTTTTTCTAATGAAAAAAGTTAAATAATGTGAAAAATCCCTTTTTCTTTTTTTTTTTTTTGTAAAGAAAAGTCAAAAATTACTGAAAAAAAAAAATTGTGACAAAATTGGAAATTAAAAAGAAAGTAAATCTGAAATTCTTTCTTGTTTACATTTAAAAATTATGAAACATTTTGTCAATCTATCATTTCAAAAATGATACTTTCATCTATAAAAGTTTAATTTGAAAAGAAAAAAAAAACTGTATTTGATGATATTGCTTTGATAAATGATAAAAAGGGTAATTTCTCTCTTCTTGTCTCTTTCTTCATCTTCTCTTTTCATTTCTTTTTTTTTCCACCTTTTTTTTTTTCTTGTTTAAACGAACGGCAATAATGGGAATAAGAACAAAGAAATTTTATCAGAGAATTGGATCGGTCGTCTATCAGAAAACTTCGTTACACAAACATTAACATCAATATATGCATAAACACAACATGTGGTGGTCGTTGAATATATCACTCTTCATCATATTCGTGGTTTCTGGTATGTTTTTCTATTTGTTTTTCCTTTTTTTTTGTAATGATGAAGAATATAAATTATTGATTGTTAACGAAATATTTTAATTTTAATCAATAATGTTATAATTTTTCAAAAAATAAATCTTAGAAAAGAGTAGTGATACTTCAAAAAAAAAGAATTAAATTTTTTTTAGAGAATTAAAAAGAAGAAAGTATTTTATAATTTTATGTCTTTTTTTTTTCGTTATGATAATAGTTCATTTGATGATGATGATGATGATGATTTAGTTTTTCCTTTTTAAGGATCCTATTCGTCAGGTGTTGCAATACATGAATTACTGGAACAGTATCTTGATGTTACATGTCAACGAGAAAGGTAGCATTGTTTGTTTTCTTTCTTAAAAATATTTCTTAATACTAAGATAATATTTGTTTTTCCTTTTTTTTAAATTTTTTCTTTTTGAATTTATTTCTTTGTTAAATTTTACATTACTATAAGGAATTGATAAGTAAATTTTATAGGATCAGTGTGCAGTTGACATTTAACCGGAAAAGGCATCCAGAAATGACAAAATCAATTCGTGAAATGATTTGGCGTGGTAGGTTGTGTATTGGTGATGATAAATCTGGCTCATGCTGTTCACAACTTAATATGATACAAGATGTAAGTTATCATTTTCACTTCTTTTTTTTTTAATTTTT